TAGCTCAACTTGCACAAGTCAAGCTGCACATGCATGAGCTTGCACACTGGCATGTCCCCCACATGACCTGGTCTCCTCCTAATGCCAGACCACTGGGCTGCCTGCAAACATTGAGGACCACTGCTCTAGAATATATAATGAGAGCAAACCCACTCCCTACCATTCAGGGGCGGGTTGCTCCCAGCATTACTGCTGGTTCAGTGCACGCAAAAATTTTGCCCGTGTGTGCTCACTTCGCTTGAACGCACACCAGATGCGTGCTCCGTGTGCATGCACATTTGCACAAAACTAGGTCTGTGCATGCACAAAATGTTAAAAAAAGGAAAAAAAATATTTTGTGCAATGACAATTATTCTGCAGAACCAAAAATCAAGATGGTGGCCCTGTAGAAGAACCAATTTGGGGGCATGGCAGGCCTGGGTTGCTGCCAGTTCCAGCCAGTCCCAGGCCGCCAAACCACTGCTGGTTTGGCCAAACTGTTCCGAACTGGTAGGAACCGACCTCTGCTACCAGAACTAATGATGTTACCTAGTTTGGATAATAAAATGTCTGTAGGAAAATGACCAAACTCAGAGAGCACCAAAGACTTTTCATAACAGTTTTAAGTCAAGATGTCCAATATTATTCAGTCTCATTAGGAATAACAAATTTTTGTACTTAATCCAAGGTTCTGTACCTGAACTTTTATCTTTCAATTAATTATAACCCGAATTATAGCAAAGTGAACAATATTCAGATCTAGTGGAATGTAAGGGATTAAGGCTCTTGGCAGTTTGCCTTGCTGATATCAGGTAGGTGTAACAGATTTGTAAACACATACACCTAATCTCAAACTCTGAGTTCTAGATTGCATGCACACTGGGACAGTGACGTGCGGTGAGGTTTATGGCTGGTGAGGCACTGACACACTGGTGGGTTTCAAATTTTTTTAGACTTGTGCACTTCAACTCCCAGAATTCCACAGCCAGGCATGCTCAGTTCCAATTTAAAGTGACAGCTTTTCTCCTTTGCAAAAGAAGTTTCCTTCTTTCATTTTCTTTTTCTTCTCCCTTCTCCTCCTTCCTCCCTCTCTCCCTCTCCCCCCCCTCTCTCAAACACACACACACAGAAGTTGGATTGGACTTTCTCTCCTACCTTTTTTAAACAGTTAAGCAGAGTCATCCACGGTGAGGCAGCAACTAGCTCAGCTTTTTCCTTTTACATTTGTTTCTTTTCATAACGAGAGCAGTGAGGCTGTGCCTCACTTGCCTCACCTGACTGCACATCACTGCACTGGGACCAACTAATAGGAAAGCTGCATATAAGGCTAACAAACCCACCTTAAAATTGTTGGAAAATATCCAAGTATTCTTAATATGAGGTGGCTTTTTTCTATGGTAGTATGCTGGTAATGTTTTAATTTGTTGTGGGTATCAACTGTAATGGATTTTTTCCTAATTTATATTTACTTTTTTCAGTAAAGAACATTTGTTCCCTGCCTTTTCCACTTCCATTTTTTGCTAAAAATGGATAAAGATAGCATGTAAAGGTACAAAAGCACAAAGAAAATGTGTAGATAAAGAAAGGGGGATGAACATTCAAAAGACGGAATAAAATGGCAGAGAATAATGAAAAAGTAATTTTTTGTTCTTTAAATCACAATTAGACCTAGAGAATAGGCTGAATGCCTGACATACAGTAACAGAGGAAATAAATAAATCTAGCCTGGAAAATAACAACGCAATTTATAGAGTAATGTTGGATTTAGATGGATTACTGGAGCCTCTGGAGCCATTTTCAGAGGTATTGGCAGATGGGTTGGGTGATAAAAATCAGCCAGATGATAGACATAACATCATCATGCAAACCATCTGTTTTGTACATGTCATGCTTCCATATTCATCACTCCAATAGACAATGCTGCCCTGAATGATGGGATATTTTCTTTGACTATAAGGACTATTAAAGAATGGAACAGCTTGTCCCCTGGGTTTTGGGTCAAAAAAGACTGGAGACTCTTTTGTCCAGAATGATGTGAAGATTCCTATCTGGAGCGGAGATTGGACTAGAAAGTTCCTATAATTTTATGAATTTTCTCCATCGTTCAAAAACTCTTATCTGAAAAGATGAACTGATGGACAAGAGGAAAGAAAGTCATTTTTATTATTAGTTCATTGCATAATTAGTCAGGTGTTCATACTGGGTTTGGCATTTTTGTCTATCTCTCAAGTCTTTCCCAAGGATTTGGGATAGGCAGATGTAGATATTTGATGGTGTTTAAAGGTATTGTCTCAGGATGTGAATGCTCCCAAATAAAGCTGTCCTTTGCAGTTGACTGGCAGTAAATTTTTCCATGCTGATTGTGTTCAAGAAGTGCTCCAGTTGTTTTGGGATTGCACCCAAGGCACCCATTACTATTGGCACTACCTTTGCTTTATTTTACTAGTCATTCTATTTGTAATTTGCAGCTCTTTGAATTTTGTTATCTTCTTGATAACAAAATACAAAGCTGTCTCCAACTACTGCCATATCCACTATCCAGAGGTTTTTGTTTTTCTTGTTCACAATTGTTAAACCTGTCGTGTGATGTGGCAGGTGCCTGTCTGCTAAGAGTCTAAAGTCCCTGAGCACTTTAGTTTCTTTGCTTCCTATTACTTTCTATATTTTATGGCCCCACCAGTTCTTAACTTGCAGGCAAAAGGTATTTACAATACAATACAATAGCAGAGTTGGAAGGGACCTTGGANTCGGAGTCTGTTTGCAGCTCCAACGGCTCCTGCTGGGCCACAACAGAATACATACAGTTGCATTCCTATAATTAACCAAAGGAACCTTTGGGGGTTAAGTAATATATTTAAAGTTTTCTGGAAGTTGAAGTAAATAACTCAATTATTGTTTGACCATAGGCCTCTCGAAAGAGTGTCAGATATAGATAAAAAGGATAAATCAACAATTTTCACCCATTGGGCCTAGAGAAGCATTTAAAATAAAAGAATAATAAGAAATATACTGTCATTATGGCAATTTTGAGTTAAATATCAGATCTACATTTGTAATTTTACTGTAATAACATTTAAAATCCTCACATCTCATTCAGTTAATACCTCATTATTTCCTAGACACATACATATATATGTATACGTATAATACACTATAGTGTGTGTGTGTGTGTGTGTGTGATGACATTCTCACAAATTTTATAAATACTTATGATTAATTATTTTGCAAAAACTGGTAATCTGGTTCATTGCATATTTCAGACAAATTGCTTAAATGCAAGTCATTTATTTCAACTATGCACTGAAACAGTCGCTAGTCTCTGCAAAAGTAATGTATCATGGTAGAATAAACAGATTATGATAAAATGCTCCCAAGATGAAAGTATGTACAAAATACTCTGGGACAGAACCAAGTTATTTATTTGTATAATTGCTTTAAAATGGGTAATCAAATTATGCAGACATGTGCTTATACTAACATTAGAATATGTAGACTACAAAATAATATTATTGAATTTTATTTAGCAGAAAAAAGATATATTAGACAAAAGTAATATTCATTTATATTATATCGTTTGTTTATAACATTTATTTCAACTATTTATTTCCAAAAATGTAATCAATAAAACAATATATTAACCCGCATTATGTAATTGAAAATAGCCTGTAAGGATAAGAAGTAGAATTTGTTTAAATATAGGCATGATACAGTTATCAATAGAGTGATGTTACTTATTTATTGTGATGGTACTGAGATCAAAGGCTGAGTTAGTGACAGGCTGTAGGAGTAGTTGAAAACTAGTTTGGTGTAGTAGTTAAAGTAGTTAAAGACATCAGACTAGAAACAAGAAGACTGTGAATTCTTATCCTGCCTTAAGCACAAGGGCAACTGGGCGACTTTGGGCCTGAAGGAAGCAATGACCCAGCCACTTCTGAAATCTTGCCAAGGAAACTTCAGGCACTAGTCCAGCTAGCCACTGAGAGTTAATACAGACCAGAAGGCCAAATAATGTTGCATGTTGATGTGAGCTCAGGATTTACTGAGGCCAGAATGAATGTTGGAGTTGCAAGTTTATGTGCCAGAAATTGGACTGAGAGTTGAACATTAACTGGAATGCTAGGAATGTCATTTCTGGACTATGTGGTGGAGCAGGAACAGCCGTGTACACTTGCATGTAGTATTGGACTGCAGATGGTCGACTGTTAAAGCCTCTCGCAATAGGATGCTGTCACTGATAGAATTAAATATGGTCCTTGTCTGGATGGACGTGGTGTTTTATAGCTGTTCAGGTTCGTATTTCATTAAAAAAAAAGTGGCATGTGGCAGCTTTGCCTTGGCATATTGGAGGGCTTGAGCACCCAGGTTGAAAATTTATCGAACTTATCAAAAATTTCTCCTCAGCATCAGATCAGGGTGGTGAATGGAATAGTGAATGATTCTGGGCTGGGTCTTTTGGGAAGGCTGATTTTGTATTAAATGTATGTAAGCTGCTCAGAGTTGAAATATGAGAGTTGGACTACGATCTAAATGGAAATAAACAAATCAGCAAACAAGCTTAGTCTGCAATCCAGAACTAATTTAGGTAAAGTCACTCAACATACTGGACTTGATTCAGACGTTCTGCAGAATAAGGACGCTAATAAGGTATGGAGATTCATAGAAAAGAAAGTTACATCAACCTATTTGATTGTCTTCTAAAAATTAAAAGTATATTCTGTCTGATATCTGTATATACTGATACATGCACAGTCCCTGAATGAATCACCATAATTCTAGTAAGCATCTGAATATTACATTCAAAGTAGGGATTGTTTTATACAGTGTCTAAATCTTGTTAAAACGAATAATTGAAATAAACCCTATTTTTCGCCATAGCATTTAGTGAGGAGTTCTCAGATTTCTTAACTAACAAAATACTTGTTTGTTGCATTTGCATTGCCTATTTATTTCTGTTGTTGTTGTTGTTGTTGTTGTTGTTGTTGTTATTCTCTGACTGATGTAATACATTGATTTATTTTTAGCCTTTTCACCTACTTGTCCAGTTATTCCTCTTCCTGAAAGAATAGACTGCATCCCGGATCAAGTGGCAACAAAGGTAAGTAGTGTATACAAGTTAAATAATAATAACTTATTGATTAAGAATTATTACATTTCCACCCATCTTAAACTATGAGTAGGGGTATGCCACAACTTACAAAAATCATTTAATAACCATTTAAAGTTACAACTGCATTGGACAAAAAATCACTTATGACCATTTTTTATGCTTACGACTATTGCAAATATAAAAAAAAATATTTTTCCTTCCCACACTGGTGAAGATTGCATGTCCACATTTTTTTAAAAAAAATGTTTGCAAAGGGTTGGAATGGCCAATGGAATTGATCGTGCTCATTGAAAAAAGCTTGGCAGCCCTACTTATTTCTTTATGCATGCATGCAATCACTTCTAAAGGCTCAGGAAGGTTTACAAATGTCATGTTGTTTAAACCATATCATGTGTCATGATTTAGTAAGCTAACAGACTGAGTTATTTGTTGGCACTCAAGTATAGCATTCATGCATCTTTTTGTGCCCTCAACAATATGCTCATGCAGAGGACTTTGAAATGCAGTTGGAGAATTTTGAGATAAAAAAAATAGAAAGAAAATAGGGGGAAAATGTGTATCAATAGAGGAAAAGAGCAGGAAAGAGAAGGAGAAGAAGAAACAATTGTCATCATCATTATTGTCACAATCAGATAGTTGGAAAAAGATGGAACTGCTATCATATGGGCCACCACAAAAAATACTTCAGGATTGCACGGAGAGGAAAGGTGTTTGGGTAAACTCCAACAATTATCAGAGATAAAGAAACCAATTAATATACATTTTTTTCATGAATTTGTGGGTGAAAATCCAGATGCAGTTTAATAAAGTCTGAACACAAATAAAGGCAAATACGTGTGTCACAAGATAATGTTGCAAGATCCAATTCTGGGTCGGTCACCAGGTTTAGTCTTCTGAGCTTTCAGACTTGTACTGGAGCACATTCTCAGAGAACTTATCTCTATCAGAATATGTGCCTTGGGTTATTCTATGCTTTATATTTATGTGGTGCTTTTCTTATGTGGTTGGTTGTTGTGTTGATGGCCAGCAATTGGCTGTTGTTTCCTTGTGCTGTTGTTTCCTGTGTGTCCAAGTCCTTGGCACATTGATAAGCTGGTGGTAAACCAGCACTGTTGACTGACAAAGGGCCTGTTTCTCAGGCTTCAAGCATTTCTCTGGCTACCTTTGTACCTGCATGGCTAACAATCTTAGTAGCTATGAAATTGAATATATGATCTTGTTCATTGCAATGTGAGGCTACCAATCAGTTTATGTGTCCTTGTATGACTGCTCAGAATTTGAACACAATTTTCTACCTATTATTTTATGCTAGTTATTAAATAGGCAGAAGGGAATCTTCCTCTATGGAGCTGTAAAAAAATGATTTGGAGTTTACTTCAGTAAACCATCACAACCAGCAGCTTGTTGGCTGTTGATCACACAAGTTTATTTAAGGAAAAGTTTCAAAATCTTTCGTGGTCTCTGAATCTGTGGAGGAAAGCTAAAAATGTAAGAACTGAAGGATGGTATAACTGTTAGAATATTCATGACTGGGAGAGATATTCAGCCAATGAATTGGCATAGCAATAAGGTCAGCCAATGGGAGCTGAAACAGCTAGGAACCAGGGTGTGGTTTAGCCTGCAACCTTTTGAGTCTCTGCAAAGGATTGAAACAAAAACCTATGACCCCATCTGCTCTGAACTCTGAAACTAGCTGTTCTCTCCTGCTTGTGTTCTGCTTGTAACTTCTGCCACGTTGAAAGAATCTACTATTGGTATTGTACATTTATTCATCTGTTATTATGTATATAAAGAAGTTAATGAATCCAGCTGAATCAATTATCTGTGTGTGCTTTCTGGATTTGATTTTCCTACAACTCTGACGAGAACTATGGTTTATTGTAACCATTCCCAGTTTGATACTTGCCAGATGTGTTCAACTATAATTGTCAAAAATTCCCAGGCAGTCCTACTTTAATACATTGGAAGAACCTGTGGTGGAGGAAATTAGTTTATTGTGATATTGAAATGCAGCCAGTGATACAGAACTTTGGATCAATAGACTGCATGACAAAAATCTTATTTTGAAAGTCATTACTTTCTTTTCACTAAAATCCTTTAAAAGAAGACAAGAAAATAAAAGTTTAATTATCATGTCAGCTTCAGCCTTATATAATTTAATACTTATACATAAAAGCCTGAACATGATAGTTTTCACATACCAGGAGATTACCAGTGTGTATGCTTTAAGCCACTAGAAAGCCATTGCTGGTCAATTTTGTCATGCTTCAATCTTTTCTTCTTTCAAAGTGATGAGTTCACATAGCTAGACTAGTCTTGACCAGTGATGGTACTCTTGCAGAAGGTACCTGAAAGAAGTAGATGATAGTACATGCTGTTGCTTTTTGGATGGTTCTCTATATATTCAAAGTTCTCTTTTTTAATCCCGTAATTGTAGGGAAACATAAGAGATGAAACTAGTAGGCAGAAACTGGCAGTGCATAGTCCACATGGAAACATTGTATAAACATTTAAAAGTGCCTGCCAGTCTTAAAACAGAGAAACAGACTGTTAATTCAAAAGGTTAGGAGAGTAGGGGTAAGAGGATTCTTGGGTTCCCAGAACACAACAATTCCATCTGTCTATTTGTTTGTCCATCCATCCATCCATCCATCCATCATCATCATATCATCATCATCNGGAGCTTTAGTGATTAAAAATAAACCTTTTAAAATGCTAGTTTGAAAAAAGTTGTTTTATTTCATAATAAACACTTAATGTTTTCTTGCAAGTTCTGTGGTAAAGAAGAACACAGGTTTAGTATTGTTGACTATGTTTTGATTATTTGGATGAAAGGATACATGTCTTGAAAGCAAGTGCTTAAATTGAAAATATAAATATCTATTTCTCTCTTTTCCTCTCTAGATGGGAAAGAAGAAATTCACTGGATTAGAAATCTCCCTGATCACTTTCTTCCTTTTGCTACTCATCATAACCATCACTTTGATTGTACTTCTAGCAACAGGTTATTCTGGTCTTAAAGGTAATGTTATTCACAGTCCCTTGACTTATAGCCAGAAAAATGCTCCAACGGTTACATAAGATCTTTTAAAAGAATAATTAAATATCTCCCACATGATTTTCAGATAGGTATGGACCTCTAATCATGCCTTCAGGTGAGCCTTTGTGCTTCTTGTGCCTTTGATCATTTGCCATTTTGAAATATGAAACCCACAGGAATTAGAGTAGGGTAGGTATATTGGGGTTAAAAATTCAACCACCAAAATTCTTTTCAAGCCCCAGTCTCATGTAGGTATGATGCAATTCCACCCATTTCATGAACTCCTTACAAGAGTTAAACAGAGTCCATAAAAAGGTGGTCTTGTCCATTCTAAGTCATAGAATGGACAAGATTATTTCCCTATTTGCACCTAACTAAGATACAGATACCCCCCTAGCTATTCTTTTTCCCCCTGCCATTATAACCAATTTCATTGTATTTAAGTACATTGATTATAAATATTATGCTTATACTTATATTTCCATATGATTGCCTTACCTGATCTTCAATCTGTATCTGAGACAGCCTAAAATACTGTTTTCCTTGTTAAGTGAATAATAAGCTATCACAATTTTATCACAAATACAATTTGACACACTTTCTGACCATTTTGCAGAGGGTTGGATCAGCTTGGAAGCTATTAAACAATTAGGATGGCTTTAGGTATCCTCTAATTTTTTAGTTCTTTGATACTGCATCTGGTCATTAAATTTTGAGCAATGGAAGGATTCAGATATTACAAAGTAGGTTATCTATCAGTAAATATCAGTCAAGTCACTAACTAATCCTCAGCTCAGGAACATGAATGGTAGCTGATCAGAGGGGGTGATAGGAATTCTGCAGGGAAAAAAAAGTGGTTTTCTTTGCCCCTGCTCCTCATGGTGCATCCCTACCCACATATGGTATTCGTCAGCTACTACTCAGAGGTTATGGGTTTTTTTAAAAAAAAATAAAATAAAGGCTTACAAGCTTGCTAGAAAAACAGACCAAAGCATAATTGATGGCAGAGGAACTATATAGTAAATGAACAGAAATAGAGCTAGCTCATGCAACAATTCCACAACTTGTTTGCCAGCTGATGCACAAGGCGATTTTGAATGTGAATT